TCTAAGACACTGAAGTAATAAAGATTGTTAACCGAACTTAATTAGCATTCTCCTCGAACTCGGTGGGTAGTAAAAGAATATGAGCGGTAAAAGACAAAATTAGGATCCAGGATTTAGCCGGTTTTATAGACTCCGAACATTTTTTGGATGAGCTGTAACATATACTTTGGGCAGTTATAATTTATAATGTAGTTTTTCGGCGTTTCGACTGGCAATTCCAGTCTTGACCAATGCTACTTCGCTTGAGAGATAGCCTGCTGGCGATCCTGACGTTCGCTTCGTTTTTCAGAGGGACCAGTTCAACAATTAGCTTATATATGAGAGGGAAATTCTATGGAGTTCAACAATATTTTTCAGAAATGAGCACGACAATGGATGAGCCGTCAACATCAAGCCGCGAGAAGCACCATTTGGAAACGGCCGATGCGTCGTCGCTTTTCATTCTGAAAGGTGAACTGTACCGAAAAATCAATGAACAACGCCAAAAAACGACAGTTGGGGTCGAGAAGATTCCAAAAAAGGTGCTGCTTTGTATGTTTTACCGTTCTAGAACACCAGTTTGACAGTGAGCCCTTTTTGGCAGAAAAATGGAATTTTTTAGAGATATTTCCAAAATTCAATGGAAAAGGGACTGCTTCCCGATGCTTGTGTCATTTACTTTTACTGGTTTTGCTGGCATCTTTCTGTAAAAATATAGTATTTTTTAGTTCTGTTATTTTGGCGCACCTTTATGCTTGCGAAAACTTGAAATTCATAGTCTTGTTATGCAGAGGGTAAATTTTCCCGGTTGTTCTTTCAACCAGTGCTGCATCACTTGGCGTTCAGCCTGCTGGCAATCCTAACGTTCGTTTCGTTTTTTGAAGAGAATGTCAGTTCCACAGAATCGTCTGGCAGGGCCTTTAGCTGTTTTAAGATCCTCGTTAATGTGTTTTTAGCATTATTATCTCAACCGAATTTTGCTGTTCCTAGACCGAGTTGAGTATTTTGCCAACTATGTTTTTATACTCATTCGTAAGCATTTTTTTTTGTGAGCCGCCTGCGTTTAAATTTCTCATGTTTGAGTTTCTTTTGAATACCTTTTTGTGTTCTTTTGACTAAGTTTTGCTTCTGTTTAGTAGAGTTTAACTTTTGTTTAGCAGAAACCTTTTTAGCTAAGCTCCAGCCCTTGCTTAATTGTAGTTTTTTTTCTCCTGAACAAATCTTACGTCATTCGTCTCTTTAGTCCTTGCTCTTTCCCCCTCCCTCCCCCCGCCGCCCTTCCACCCTCTCCGCCCTCCCCTCGCCCACCCGTAGCTGCCTTTATCCTAATAGGGGATCCTTGCAACTAGTTTTGTAGTTTAGCCTGCACGAGCAATTTTAATGCTTTGCATTAGAGCGTAATAGTTAGTGCAAGTATCTGAGTATACCACTGGGAATTTGCTACTCTTGTTCTTAGACGAGAAAACGCTTCAACATAAGATCAGCCATGGATGCTGGATATTGTTTTCAAAGGAAGTTAGTGGATTTTCGATGTCCTGTAGCAGAGTAGGAGCAAGTTTTTGTTTGTAATACATTTCTTTTCGAAGCGAATAATATTTCATCCCAAATTTTATTATTACAGTTTTTCAGAGTGTACTTAGGGTTACTAAAGAGGAGGATAAAAAACTCACGGAAGAGAGACAGCGCAGACAAGAACGTATCCGTGAGCTGGAAAAATCAGTGCAACAAGACGAGGAACAAAGAAAACGAGTGCAAAGGATACTGGAGGAAAAAAGCGAAATTTACGCCCGGTTAAGTCGCGGTGAAGCAGTTTTGAATGGTTTGTTGGATTTACAGTTTTAAAATTTAGTAGCTACTGCCGTGAGGGGAAAATGCTTTTAATATGAACCACTCTGTGGGTTCTTTAATGGGCGCGGCAGTAAATGGGGTTTTTTGCCAAGATCAACAAGAAGCTCGAGCGGTTGCTTTGTGGATTTCTTGGGATATTACCCTCATCCATGGTGTACCAGAAGTGGTCGTTTGCTTTCTCGTGGAGTACATTTACTGCCACGCGATGTCCTGTGATTTTTTGCACAATGAGCGACATGTCCTATCAAATGGTTTCTAGCGTTGCAAGTTTTATAATTGTACAAGAAATCGTTAAGAATTTTTTAAGAGAAAGTTAAGAATTTGTGCCTAAAGTTTAATGAATCGTTAAGAGAAAGTTGAGAATTCTTATAATAAAAAAACAAGGAAAATAGAGAAAACTTGAAATGTACAACTTGCCAGCAGAACACTGTTGTCAGTTTTGCTAGGTGGTGGTTTCTGTGCACGGGGTAATTCTGCTTTTTTATTTTGCTTGCATCTGAAATAGTGAAATTTGGAGAGGTGTAATATGAGGTTAATTCAATTACAAGTGCTGAATTTTTTTCTCAAATCTCTTAAATTTGTGTAAAACTTTTGCTATTAGGTGACAATGAACCGGTTGAATTTTTGGTTGATTTCGACGCGAAGAAACGTGAAGAGGAAAAACGGCGTGCCGAAGAAGCTGAAAAAGATAGAACCGAACAAACTGAAGCTGTGCATTTTAATCCAACTGAAGGTGAGATTGGTTTTTATGCGTTTTGTGCTACAACAGTTGCCGAAAGAACGCATTTTGTCGAAACCCTATGTGTGCCTGTGTGTTCGGAGTGCATTTTGTCCTTGGTTTTCAACTGGGAAATCGAAGAAGCTAAAAGAAGAAATTTTAAGGGGATTCCCTACCCATATGGGATCTCGCAAATCCAAGTTGAGCCCCCATGCACGTCTGCAACTCACGTACAGCCATGTGAAAGTTCTCGCCCCTATATTAATAATCCCGGAAGTTCCAAAGCTTGGAAGCGCATATTTTAAAAGAATGCCCTCCCGTTGGCGTAAAACTCCGTCGTTTTAAATTCAGCTTCCATGTACATCTCGGTCTCACGTATAAGCACGCGAAAGTTTCGGCGCGAAAATTGTTAATTCGGTGATCAGAAAAGCTAGAAAGCTGAAATTTCAGAAGAATGCCCCCTATCTGCGTATAAATTCAGTCCTTGCCCATGCTTAGACCTCATGTACGGACACGCAAATGGTTTGGCGCCAAAATTAATAACTCAGAAACAACAAAAGTTTCTACACATATCAAACTGTAAAGCAATGAACAATTTTAAAAGCATAGTTCCCTTGAGCATAATTGCACAGTCGTTTGCTGAACAGAGCTGCGCAAAAAGTATGATCGCATTAGCTATCCTGATACGCATCGCTAGTTGTTTTTGGTTAAAATACCCTACCACATAAATACAGATTGGGATATCTGAAACAGCTGTTTAGTCTGGTTCTCCAGCTGTGCACTGGGCAAATTTTCCATTTTGACCGTAGTTCCATTGTTTGGTGGTCAGCGTGTTAGTGATCCTGATATTCATTTCGTTTCCTTAGGGAATTACAGGCTCAACGTCCACTTTCGACTGAAGCAATGGGAAGGACTAGCTGCTCCGACATGCCGTTGGGTTGGGTTGAGCATTACCATTGGGTTGAGCATTACCACCTTGTCTTGATTACTAGTGCATTTGTTAAGTCTTGAAAGATCCTATAAGCTTTCTATTTTTTCGCGTTTTTGGTAAAAACATGAATAATTTTGAGGCATTTTCCGAAATAATTTTTTTTGAATGTTTTGTCTTTTTGTGAATGACGGTTAACCTTTGCGCAATGAGTTTCAGAGCAACGTGTCTATGGTGTATCACACGTTCCACTTCCTGTCAGAGAAGAGAAAAGACAAGAGCAAATTAAGGAACTGCTGGATTTAAGCAAGGTAAGTAGAAGACATAACTAGTAACTTAAAAAATATACATACTTTTGTTAAAAGGTCTACACATGTTGCCCCATGTTAAATTGTTCGGAAGATTTTTTTGGCAATTGCCAGTTTCTCAATTTTACAGCTGTTTTTATACAGCAAAATGGAAAATGATAGAATGCCTGAACAAATCACCGGGCATGCATTTTAAAATGAAGTCTGTTTAGAAAACGGAAACGAGTCGAGCGAAAAGGAAAGTTTTACTGGAGCAACGCGAAAAAATGAAGTGGGAAAGGCTGAACAGGATTCGTAAACGTAAAGGTCTGGAGGAGTTACCACCACCGGGTGCCGTTGAAGGTAAAGATATCTGTATATTGATGTGTTTATTTCCAATGTATGTGCAGGGTTTTATAGGGTTTTTGGGGTTTTTTTTTTCCATCTTTGACGACTTTTGCGAGCTTTATTTTTTATTTTTTTAACACAAAGTCATGTTAGGTGTATATTTTGACATGGCATTTCGGTAGTAATGTGAATGAATGTGCATCAGATTTGGTTATTGCACACGTATCTTACTGGAAATACTCGGATTTTTTTAATAGCTATGGTTCTCTAGCTATGCAGTTGGTTACTTTTCCAGTTGCCTTGACCAATGCTGCATTGCCTAATGGACATCCTGCCCAAGAATGTGATATTTGTTTCACCTTCTGAGCGAACGAATCGTTTGCAGAACGACTTTTCGGGCATAAACATTTGACAGAGGTTTAACTGCCTTATTAAGATGTGTTTGGTGTGTGTTGCGCATCACTGTACCGTCTCAAACATTGTCATTTCTAGGCCATGGTGCTGGCGACGAGATAGTCTTATTAAAGTTTTTTCTGTTAGAATTATTTCCTGCCTCCCGAAATATTTTAAATTGTCGTATTGGTGCGTAATAGCTTCATTAACTTTAACTTTTGATACATGTGGTCTTGGATTTGTGCGCAGCTGTTACCAGTTTTTCTTACGGTCTTTTTTCGAAAGTTCTTTTCTAATCCTGACTTGCACGAAGTTACAGCGAAAAGAAAACATATGGCATGGATTATCTGGTTCAAAGTAACGAATTTTTCGTAGCACATACTCCGCTTTATCCAACCTGGATACCATTTGTTGTGTAATTGCCAAATTATGAAGGCTGAATTTGTACAGGAAAAAGGATAATGTGCAACATGGCAGTATAGTGGCTTTTGCAATCTGCTAACATCTGATGCTTGCAAATTGCAGAAATTGATGAAACGAAGTACTTGGACATACCTCTTCCAGAAGGGCCGCCAACAGCTCCCGAGGAAGAACCAAAACCGAAGCAGTTTGCACCAGTTCGAGAATGGGACCGTGGAAAAGGTAAAAATTTTTGCGGTGATTTATGCTTATTTGATTTCGCAGATAAAAACGATCTCGATTTCAAAATTTTGTTCATGTGTTTTATCGATTTGTTTACACACACACACACACACACACACACACACACACATACACATACACACCTCTTCTTCGTCTGTTCTTTACTCGTTAACTTGTTCATCAGTCACGTGTGAGCATGGATTGAACTTGAACATAAGGCTTATGCATAAGTAGCCATGTTCGTTTAGTCTTTCTATTCCCAGCATGTTTGATACTCAATATCTTCTCATTAAGTAATACTTTTGATGTTTAGCGCTATACGATCGATGGATAAAGAAACAACGAGAGGAACGCGATGAAGAATTTGCTCCTCCAGCAAGCTATTTTCGACAATAAAGAATTTGCTTCTATACTGCCCTAGTTTTGCATACATGTATTTTATGTAATATGATAATAAAAAATTGACACGTTATTTTCTCATGCATAAAATGTTCTGGCAGTCAAAGCTGTGTACTGCTTATAAAAGAGAGCAAAGCTTTTTTCATCGAAAACCGTTTTACGGTAAATTTGAATTTTTTTTTCTGCTATGTGTGTTTTTGTTTTTCCAGTTATGTATTAAAAGGGTGAAGAGTTTCTTTGCTCCAGCAAAATAGATCCTGGAGATTCGGTCTTGAATCCTTGGATCAGGCACTGATTCGTGTTTTGTCGCTTTAGCTGTGTACTGGGCAACTTTTCTAGTTGCGTCGGCTGATGTTGTATCATAGGGTTGTGAGCTTGTTGGCAATCTGGAAAGCAGTTCTGACCAAATGACCAGAGCAACGATCTCACAGTAGAAGTATTTGGCAGGGTTGGAGATATAAGATATTCGTATAGTGTTGTGGCTTTACTATTTGATTCTAAGCATTGCTGTTTGGGGATCTCAGGAGAGCATTCTACCAGCTAGGGGAGGAAAACTCCGACTTTTTTCCTGTTATTATATGGTTTTGAATAGATTTCGCATATTTTGTGGGATGCTTGAGTCAGCTTTGGTTTAGGATAGGATGTTTTGTGAAAAAGTGGGAATTTCGATATTTCGTGAATTCGTTTTTTGTTCGGGTATATGGGTGGGGCAGTTAGCTTATTTGCTTTCAGGATGAACTTTAATCCTCGCTTTGAGGAAATTGGGAACGCCTTTATTCAGCATTATTATGGCATATTCGATGCGGCGAATCCGAATGGTCGTGGTGCGGGCCTCGTGGATTTATACGATCCAGTCAATTCCTATATGACATTTGAAGGCGTACAAGTGAAAGGGCGAGATGCAATATTGCAGAAATTTGTTGTAAGCCAATTTGCTGAAAATGATCGTTTTGATGTATGAAATGTGGGGTAATTTACTGCAAGCAGTCAGGCCTTGTAAACTTCCCTTCCTCCACAGTAAAAGTTGGATGGGATTATATGCAGCACTAAATAATTGGCCAGTACATCGCCTGCCGATGCGAAAATGCGTTTTTTGCATATTTCCCCTCAGGTTTTTGTCGCTAACGGCACCGGTTTTTTCATCAGATGCTTCTAGCTAAAAAAATTGGGACTGACCCCTTAAAAAACATCCCTTTAAAATTTCAGCTTTTTAGCTTTTCAGGCTCCTGAATTGACAACTCACTCGCAAAAAACCGTGGGGAGGGGGCGTACTTGGGAACCACGTGCATCTGGAGGCTGGGCTTGAACGTGTTAAGTCCTGCTTGGACAGGGGACATCCCTTTAAAATTCCAGCCTTCTAGCTTTTTTGGTCCCCGAGTTAGCAGCTTACCGCCAAAAAAATTGACGGGCTTGTACAGGAAAACCACATGAGCAAGAGCGTCTGTTTTGGGGAAGGGAACTCGTACATGTATATATATTAAGTTCCCGAAGTCTCGGCCTTGTAACTTTGGTAGGTCTCGAGATGAAAAATGGTACTGACGCGCACACACACAGACACACATGTACAAACAACCCCTCGACAAAATGCGCTTTTGCATTGCGTAGATTCAAAAAAAAAAAAACGATAAAAAAAGAAACGAGATGAATATTAATAGCTTTTCTGATTGTGAGACAATGCTTTTTTTCAGAGCTTGCCGTTTAGGACGATTCAGCGAGCAATTACAAAAACCGATTGCCAGCCATTACCAGACGGGTCAATACTTGTAGCAGTGATCGGGCAACTGAAGGTTCTTTCCTTCGTTATAATATATTGAAATATCGACAATATGATGGTTTGAAACGATCACTTTTAGAATATTTGGATCAGCTATTGATTCATAGTCTGAATTTCTCCAGTCATGCATTTGGCAGCTTCTTGAGCCTCCTCGACTGTTGTTCAGTGACCTAGTGGGCAATCGGCTAGCCCACCGGGGTGTTTGTTTCGTCTGTTGAAAGGGTTACTAGCTAATTATTTCAAACAAAAGTTATTATGAATTACTTCAACAGAAGCTTTTGGCTTGGCTTCACTCACCGGGATATCTTGGTGTATGTTGAGCATCACGATCCCATAGCAAACTTTCCCACTGATAAAGTTTTTTTTTCTGACTAGGAAGAAAAATGAGAAAATAGTATTTAAATTCTAACGAAAAACATATTTAAAATTCCTGAGGCTCCGGGATTTGCGTGGTTCTTCCAATATTATAAGTAATCGTGGATGCCTTATCACCCGGTACAGTAGCGGTTTTCCAAACAGTGTAGCTTGCAGCGAACATGCCACTGCTCTCAGCCTGGAAAATGTTTTAAAAAAATAGCTGAGCTGCAATGGAAACCTCCACTCCTCGCTGTTACTTTTGGCCCAGGTTACCAAACTCTGAGGATGTAGTGAGAGAAATTGGGTAAAAAAAAGTAGAATTGGTGATGCTTCAGCTGGATAAAGATGCTTGGTTTGGTACTGTTTAATTACAGTGAAACAAAAGTTGACAGGATTGAATGGAGGAAATGAATAGGTACAGTTGGAACAGATATGGTGAATTGAGTTACAACGTAGTGGATGCTTTTTCACAAGCATTAGGCGTGGGAACAGGCATTTCCACTATCAGAATTAAAAAAAAAAAATGACCTAGTCTTGCTGCACTCTGTAAAAAGCGGTGGCACACGGGAATAGCCCGAATTATGGCACTTTTTAATAGCAACCACCGGGAGGCAAAAATATTATGGGGTTAATAATCTGACAGCAGTTTCAGCTTTCTGGTAAATGCAAGTATCAGTTTGGTAGCTGAAAAAAATTAACAAAGCATAGAAGAATTAAAAATCCCATTTGTGAGGTCATACCTTCGATTTGCCGTAAAATCAGCAATACTACTTCTTTTGTGCCATGTCCAGCCAGCTGCCAGAGAGCAATTTCAAAGAAACAGACAGTTTTGAAGTATTGGTGCCTAATTTTGGTATTTTTTTCAGACAGATGATGATCCGGTCCAATCTTTCAACCAGTTTTTCATACTTCGGCCTGCGGCTAGTTCATTTTTCATCTCAAATGAGATCTTTCGCCTTGTGCTACACGACCATTAAGAGTGATTGATGACGGTTTGACAATGTTCTTCGATATTTCTGTTGTTCTCACCACACATAATCCAAGTAGAAAACTGCTGCCCATGTGCATACTTAATGCGCTTTCTGAAGTATCAACGTTCCATCTCCATGTTTTTTTCTTTTTTTTTTTTTAATATCCAAAACAACTGCTCAGCTTTTGTAGGGAATTTTAAGTGAAAACATTGTTTGGCCCACTCGCACAGTGAATTCTGCGCTTTCTTCACTTCTGATTTTCGTCATTCATTTTTTTGATGCCCAAAATTTCCTTTTGCGTGTTAATTTTTTTTTTTTGAATTTTTGTTTAAAAAAAAGAACTGTTTTTGCTTTAAATATCGA